TTTTTTTTTAATTTAATCCTAAATAAATGAAAGCGTAGATTGTTTCCAAAAAAAAAACAAATGATTCTTGAATTTCTACAACTATATTCGCAGCATTTTTCACTTCAATTTCATGCTCTGATGTAATAAAGATTATTATTTTTATTTAAAGGAAGTATAAACTGGACTTTTTTAAATTGCACTGTCTAAGATTTTTGGGAGCACATTCAACACCTGTCTGAGGATGTGAATCTGGTTTCTCCTTGTTCAGTTGCTTGAAAAATAGATAAGTTATCTAGAAGACTGCCGGAAATAAGATATTTTCAAATCTGCAACTTAAATCCCTTAAATTATTCACTTTCACTTCCTAACATATATTTATTTCTATTCCAATAAATCCCAAATCACACGCGAGTCAGTTTCTGAACTTCTTTTGCTTAAATATTTAACTTCAAGCTCAACTTGTTTAGTTAGTACTTACTTTTTGATTGCAAATTCTTCAAGTGCTCGACCGTTAATTGTAGAATCTCCGCCTTCTCCAGCTTGGCCGAGCCCTGTTTCTCGTAGGCCGAAGGCACCAGACGCTTCAGCTCGGTCAGCGAGGAGTTGATGCGATCGCGACGCTTCTTCTCGATGACGCCGCGGCGCTTCTTGCGGCTCATCAGCTGGCAGCTGCCCGTGCCGCTCGGCGAGATTCTGTAGAAGAGAAAAGAGAGAAACTTTAGTTAATGCAGAAAGTTACAAATTTCCAACACGCATACGCACTGCTCTTTGGAGGACTCCTCCGAGTAGAGCTCATCGCAGTCGCTCTCGGAGAGCGCACGCTTCAGGCTGTTGTGCGAATGATGGCTCTGATGGCTCTGATGGCTCTGGTGGCTCTGGTGGCTGTGGCTCTGCGGCGGCGGCACCCAATGGCTTTGGGGCGTGGCCGGCATTGCCGCGGCGGCGGCGCCGTAGCCCCAATGATGCAGCGGCGGCGCATTCACGTGCATGTTGTGCTCCATTCCGAATCGAAATTGTTTTGTTTGGGTTTAGTTTTGTTATTGGTTTTACTCGTGGCAATTATATCTTTGTCTGTTATCACTTTGTATCTATTTTAGCACATTGAACTTTTGGGCACAAGAACTTGTCAATTTTTGCTGGAGCTAGTTGTGAGCACGTGACTTATCGTGTGCGCGAACGGCGTTCGACTGATTTTACAGCACACGACTAGCGGACGTTCAGGCCGCCGTTTGCCCGGCCTCTCAACCCCTTATTGCCGGCGGCAGCAGCAGCAGCAGCGGGCAGCGGCCCAATAAGACGCAGCAGCAACCACCCCCTTGGCAACAGGAGCGCGTGCCGCAACGCCGCTTGCTCCGGCTGGGGGTAGCTAACGGCCAGGCTAGCCCAGTGGCTGTTCCTGTGCCGATCAGCGTCAGGCAGAGACCAACAAATGAACAAGGACGAGAGCAGACGCTGCCGCCGCTGCCTCTGCTGCTGCTGCTGCTGACTGGTGCGAGCGGGAGGGAAGTCAGTTGGTTGACGCATTCGCACTTGCAGCATATTGCTATACCCATTGAAAGTGCTATGAAACGGGCATAATGAATATATGTGGGTGTATGCAACAAGCAAAGCCAGGCAGTTACCAGCCAATAGTGATATATATGAGCTCTTCGTTCCGTCTGTCTGCCCGTCTCAGAGACTTTAAATGATATAAACATCAATTTTGATTCTGTAAATATCGATTATTATTTTCTGATAAATTCATATATAATTTTCCATTTTTTTCACAGTCGATAAATATCGTTTTTCATTCTTTTTATTTTGATCTATGCTAAGTTGATCTCTCTTTTTCAATAACTTCCACTCATATCTAAAAATCGATTAATATCGACTTTCATTCTATGATAATGATCAATCAATTTCGTTTTTCATTCTTTTATAATATATGATAAGTATATGGTTTTTTTCAATAACTTCCACTCATCGATATTTATCGATTTTTATTCTTTGATAAGTTTATATATAATTTTCCATTTTTATCACAGTCGATACATATCGTTTTTCATTCTTTTTAATAGCTCTCCCTTTTTCAATAACTTTCATCCACATCTAAAAATCGATAAATATCGATATTGCGCCTATATCCTTTTGCGCATATCCCTGGTATATAAAGAGCTATAGGACGTATTATCTCGTCTAGTCTATATATCATTTCTGTCTACTCTGCACGATTAAGTCTTTTAATTTGGTGTATAGGGTATCTGTTAGTCGCGCCTGTTGCTCTCTCACATTTTGGCCAAGTGCAATGCAAATGAAAAACCTCAATAATTATTATTAGTTCGAGCTCAACGCCATCGCTTCCTTGTGTCATCGATGCCGATTGTATCAGAAGCAGGAGCCGGAGTTGCGACCGCAGCATCGGCGCCGTGGGCGGTGGCCGCCGCTTGCCACAGCTTGTCGCATTGTCTTTTTGGCGGCCACTTGCCGTCGCCGTCGTCGCCGTCGCCGCCGACGTGTTGACTTGTTGCCGGGCGCACTGGCAACTGGAGCACGCGACCGAGCTGCGAGCTGCGAGCCGAACGGCCGCCGGCTCGTGTGCGGCATGTGGCATGCGGCTCCAACAAGTGCAACGCCCCGCCCCGCCCCGCCCCGTCGCGCCTCGCTCCGCCGCCTGTTTGCTTTGTGCGACCCGCATTTTGTAGGTCAGTGGTCTAATTTTTGCTTTCAAGGTTATTTTGGAGCAGGTGCCGCAACGCCGTTAACCTCTGACCTACCCAATGCCACACAATTGATTTCTCTCATCTTTGCAGGAGTCTAGCATAAGATGAAGGTTCATTTCTAGCCTAGTAAAAGACGAGTTATTTAATGGATTTTAAAGGCACTTTGCTCTTCTTTATTTTTTTGTGAATAAATGTGAATCATAGTATATGTTAAATTGATTATATGAATAAAATAATAATATATAGATAATACCTTAAAGATATTATCTAAAGTTATAAAAAGATAATTAATTTCTGGGCTGATAAAAGACAAGTTTTTTAATGGCTTTAAAGGAGACTTCACTATTGGTTATTCTTATACGAATTTCGTTATTTTAAAAGAATAAAATAAATAAATAGAAAATAAATGTTTACTGCTTAAAGCAATACAGATAAAACCTTAAATATATTACCTAAAGTTACAATAATATTATATAATTATAATAACATTTTAGAAAATTCCTTTAAGAAAATTGAAAAATGCTTTGGGCCTATAAATTAAACAAATCTTTGCTTAAATGGATGCGTCTTAAAAGTAAAATTTATAAACTGCGTAAAGCTGGTTATTTTCAAGTTTTGATATGATTTTTTAAGAAAGCAAAAAGATTACAAATCATTTGTTTTCGATATGTCCGGATATATTATATAGGGACGACGATCTTTTGGTATCAAAAAGAAACCAGATCTATGATAAGGCTTATAGAGAATAGTATTGAAGCAGAAGCTCAAAAAAATAACTACCTACTTTATGAGGCCGAAGAATGAATGAAAGAAATGAAATCCTCTATAAGGTTAGGACTCTAGATGCATAGTGAGAATATATTTTTATCTACTATTGATAAATATATACTTATATGCATATATATATTTGACCTGCAACAGCATAATCACAGGATATATATGCACTATAAGCACATCAAATAAATATAAGCCCACGAAAAGCAACAATTTAAATTGAAGCAATTATTTGGCCAATTTCTTAAGTGCACAACACGGCGTATGGTTAATATTTGCTCTGACGACTCCACCTTGATGGGATATCGATTTCATGTGCCGCATTAAAAATGAAGAAAAGTGCTTTTCATGCGCTTCGACATGCTGTCGCTCAGGTTTCCAAAAGCCAAGGAACAAGCAAGTACATTCAAGTAAAAATTTCGAGTGGGCGAGCCTTAATTTCTGTTGTTGTTGTTGTTGGTGTTGCTGTTGTTGTTGCTGTGCGAGGCGCGTGAGACAGCTCGAACAACAGGAACAACAACAACAACAACTGCAAATAGTTGTTGGCAACAACTCACCCTTAAGGCTGGTCGAAAACGCCGAGCGAATGCCGAGCAACCCCACCGAGTGAGAAATGGCTCGTGGGAAAGCCAAAGGTTCGACGATTCTCACGCATGTTCAGCACGTGCGGGTCGTGCGACTTGTGTCTACAACAACAACAACAACAACTACTACAACAACAACTACAACAACAACAGCAACAGCAACAACAACAATGAGGAGAAAAAAAGCGCAGACCAAATCGTTTGAAGCGCATTTAATGCACGTCGGCCAAAACGAGCGACGTTCTTGTATTTCGTTTTAATGCACTTGCAAAGAGTATCTACACTTTGTCACCAATTATATAACATTGCAAGGTTCTAGTGTATATGTATAAACATATATTTATATATGTTCTCGATTAAGCTAAAATACTCCTTCAGTTCTGTTCGCGGTTCGAGTCATGGCTCTTGGCTTAAGTTTCGGTTCGGTTCCACTTTTTGTTGCGAAACTTTTTACATTTTATATAATTTTGCATAATTATTCAAAATAAAATTCTATATAAAATCTATGTAATTTTTATTAAATAATATTTCCGACTTTCCAAAAAAAAATTGCTCTAAAATAAAGCATATTTTGAGAAAAAAAGGGTTCGGTTTAGTTTTAAACTTGGTTTTTCTTCAGTTAGCAAAATCCGTTTAAAGTTCTGTTCATGGTAACTAAAAAGTTATAATTCTTGATGAAAATATCCTAATATAACATAATACATATAGTACCTATAATGGAATCAGTCACATCAGAAAACTATATGCTAAATCTTTCCATACGTAAAATTGGCCATAAAAATTGTCCTTATCATCTCTGCAAGGGTATTCAAAAGTCGTCGTTCCATCTTCTCCATTATTTGCCTGTTGTTTTTTTAATGGATTTTTGAAATTGTAACCAATTTTCATATAATGAAAATAATGAAAATTGCCAGCGATTATAATCGAGCGATGTACCATAAATGAATTAAAAACTGGCAACTATTGTTATATCGATTCAAAATAGAGCGTATAATTCTCAAAAAATGGAAACTCTCTTAGAACTCTAGAGCACAAGTGCAGGCTAAAATCCGTTAGGAAATATCCAATTGGATTATTTAGCTGCACCGTCACTTCCATCAGGCATCAGGCATCGGGCATTCTCATCAGAAACTCTTAAGGCATTGGTTCAAGTTGTTGTTGTTGTTCGTGTTCTTCTTCTTGTTGGTTTGCAGCAAATTTTGGGCGTCATCGCAGGTGCCCAGCTCGGCGTCGTCTATCCAGGTCTCCAGGGTGCAGGCGCTGGAATGATGACTGGATCTCTGGGAATGGCCGCTGCCCAGACGCTTGCCACTCGGCGCCGACTGCAGCTGCCGCCAGCGACTGTCGAAGGCATCCCAATGCTGGCGCAGATCAAAGTGCTCCTCGTCCAGGGAATTGCCATTGATGTCCCATTTGACAATCGGATAATCGTCGTTTGGTGGCTGGTGCTCCATTATGATCACATTGTGATAGTGTCCATCGAACTGGGAGCCCACGCTGACGCTATAGCCAGGTTGGCTGGCCACCAGCTCACGCTCCCGCTGCAGTTGCTCCCTCTGCTCCCGCTCTCGCTCCCGCTGCTGCTCCAGCTGCAGGTCGAGGCTGGAATTGGAGGGCGTGTGCCTCAGATAGCGCACATTCTCCTTGTAGGGCACTCGATCGAATTGTATGTCTAATCCTGTCCGCTCTACCGGCAGCTGCCGCTCGAGCGGCACACACCACGCCTCCTCGGCGGCGACGTCTTCACAACCTTGGACGGATTGTATTGGGCTGTTGTTCGTGTTGTTGTTGTTGTGGCTCACATATTGCTTATCGTTTGTGCTGCAGTTGCAGCTTATCTGCTCCTGCTGCTGCTCCTGCCGCTCCTCGTGCTCCTCGTAGTCCTCATCCTCGTCCAGGCGCTGCACAAACAATTGCTTTGATGTGGATATTTTGCGCAGCAGCTGCATAAAAATAAACATATTTTATTAAAAGGTCAAAAGCAGCCATCGATTTTTTATTGATTGTGCAGCAATCAACCCAACCCCACGCACAGCTCACCTTGAGACAGGATTTCTTGGTGCGCCTCAGCAAATGGGACATGACAGCGCCCAAGTTGTGCCTCTGCTTCTTCTTCTTCTTCTTGCTGTTGCTGTTGCTGTTGTTAAATGTGTTTGAGGCAAAGGCTTTGGCCACGCGACATTTTGCTTGCGCCTGCGGCTGCGGCTGCTGCAGCTCGTCGGCCTAACAAACCAACACTGAAGTCGGGAATAGAATGAAATTCCGTGGCTCTATATTTAACCCTGCGGGTCTCTCAGTTATGAGCAGGTCGCAGGTGGCGCAAGGATGACTCATCGAGCAGCCGGAATTGCAAGTGCCAAAACGAGCCGAGAGCCGAAGGCATTGTCGGCATCGGCGCAGTAAACATAATCTCTATGTGTTAGTCTGGCCCGACATTGTTTGAGCGCAGATTTGGTTTGGATTCAATGGTGGGCGGAGGGGTGACCAGCTCGAGTGGACCCTCGAGTGCCAAAGGCGGCGGCGGCGCCTACTCAGCGAAATGTGTGCTAATGCGGTAATGCGCCAGCCCGACCCCTATCCCACCCCCAGCCCAGATCCTGCCCTCTCGAGTGGGCCAGCCTTGAGAGCGTGTTCTCACCATTCGGTTCCGGCGCCAATTTGGTGCCATAAATTACATTGTCCTGATTTTAAGTGGAACACTCCCTTGCAAACTTGGCAAGCAGCGCTTTTGAGTCCAAAACTATTTGAATTTCATAAGCTATAAATATTAAACATTGCAACTTGAGCATAGCACGGAATGTTTCACAAATAAATTATATTTAAAACATTCTAAATTTCATTCATACAAATAAACTCAACTTGAGAACAGAAAATAATTTTTACATATTATTTAATATGGTATTAAATCGGTTTTATATACCCTGAATCCATTGAAAATGTTTAAAAAAGGGGAATAATGTTTTTGTGCAAATCTATGTAACAGGCAGAAGGAAGCATCTCTGCTTTTATAATGTATATATATTCTTGATCAGCATCAATATACGAGTCGATCTGGCGATGTCTGTCCGTCCGTTCGGCCGATCGCGAGGATCTCAGAACCTACAAAAGCTAGAGACTTTAAATTTGGAACGTAGGTCCTACAAGTGCCCCTGCACTACGAGTTTGTTTCATATAATCAATAACTTGCCCCGTTTCCAAGCAATCGATAAGAATCGATTAGAATCGACAAGAATCGATTAATATTGTATTTATATTATGTATTTTTTAAGTTAAGTCTAAAACCTTAGATTACCTTAACCGAAACAAAAGTATTTAGTCGCAACAGAGCTCAGACAAATTGAAATGTGTCTAGCTAACTGTGAACCTTTCACCTGACCCACAAAGATAATCTCGTATCTCATGCTGCCGTCGCCCCAATTAGTTGCTCTAATAGAAATTGTTGAAGGACTTTGGACAGCAGTATGTCCGGCAAAGTCTTTCTATATAAACTCAAATATTCAAATATTTAGATTTTCTTCCATTGATTTCCATAGAACATTTCTCTCTGATCTAATGTATATTTACTTCAAATGGAAGTTTTTTGTATTCTAGTGTGGGAACTGAGCTGTCTGTCAGGTTCCAGGAGTGCAGCCAATAATTAATGATATATACATTTAAATTTCGTGGGCTTATTACAAAATGATTTAAATGCATTTAAGTGTAAATTAAAAAACGAGTTTTTCAATTTAACAACGCCTCACTTTTTGCTCGATCTCTCCGCGGCGAGAATGGAAACCGAATTTGAAGCACTTTGCGGCTTGTCCGCGCATTTGTCACATCACTCAAAGTGAAGTGCGCGAAGAGGACATGAAAAAGTACATGAGAAAGGCAATGGAAAAGGATGCGATGCACACTCAAAACTGAAATGAATGAATGATGACACACGCAACTAATTGTGCTGGGCAGCAAAAATGATATTTGATTGCAATTGGAAATGAAAAGGGGATATGGCAATGATATTCTGCTAGAAAAACAGATCTTAAGCGTGACTGGATGCATTTTATAGAGACAATCGCTCAATATTGCTTTTTTGACAGCTGTCAAATGTTTTTTGCTCGACCGTTACCTGGCCAAAGGGTGCAGCATACCATTCGATGACTCGCCCAATTAACGATTGATCGATAACACACACACACACACACACACACACACACAGACATACGCAGACATACTGACAATTGCAATATCGATTTCAAGAGTTTGATTTTAATTTATAATTGCCCATCAATTGAGTAGAGGGAGTTTGCGGTCGTTTGTCCTTGGTCACAAGTGTCAGCCCCGCAAGGCAATCCAACGAGTACATATATATATATATTCCACTCCCAACCCTCCGCCGGACACGCCGCATAGATTTTTATTGTTATTGTCTGGTGGGCCTGAGGCTCGAGCTCGGCGGGGTGGATTGTTGTCTCGGCCCGGTGTCCGCGCTCGGAGTGTCAATTATGCGCATTTGGGTTTAGCGCTTTGTGGAAATTTACATTTTATTAGTTTTACATGCTCGAGGCATTAAAATTATTTACGATCCCAAATATTGTAGGTTGTAAATAATTTTCGCTGGCACGTGAAACTCACGTACGAATCTTCCCAAAAAGAAATTAACTATAAAATGGAGATTCGCACATGTAACGGCCTTTGGGTTGACCTTTTGCCGCCAATTAGAGGCGCATTGTTTCCGATCCTATTCACATCCCGCCCCGCCCCTCCACCCCGCCCCGCCCCGCTAAACAAATGGACATTCGAGTGGACACGCGCTCGACTCTAAATGTTTTCCAAGTCTGTTGCGATTTCGTAAATGGATCGAACGGCAGGCGTTCAACTTTGTCACTTTGCTGATAAGAATTCAAAAAATTACAAACTCTGGATTAAAATTGATCTCGACTTGGCGATGCCCTGCACATATGGTATTCTTCAATCATATGCAAACAATTCAAAGGCTTAGCAGCGGAACAATTAAAATGATTTACTTAAATATTAAGTCTGGTATTTTGGCTTCTCTTCTCTTTTGGCTTAAATAAAAATCTCGCTAGTTTTTAAGTTTTAGTTTTTTATTTGTTTAAGATAGGAAAGTCCAAGTCTAAGTCTTGGCGGCTAAAGTGTACAAAAAAAAAACTTCCATCACAAGCAATTATATAAGAATTATTTCGTTAATATATATGTGAATAAGTCTAAATAAAAATATATGACAAGCAAAGTTTTGAACCAAAAACTCGGCTTAATCTTGTTTGGTTCGAATCGTGAATCGTGGGCTTACGGCCCTATTAAACATACGAGTCCAGCTTAATGCTACCCCTTTAAGCTGTTTTCATTTTTACAGGGTATACAAAGTGTGCACATTTTAGCTCTTCGCACAGTCTGCTAATCAGTTAAGTTTTTCATCTCGCTTTCGCAAGTCGTTTCGTTCCTCGACAGAAATGGAAGTGTCAAGTATCAACTACTATGAGCACGTGCTGGACATACGCCGGGTTATAGACGAGGCTCAGGTGCAGGACTGCGATGAGGCGCTCAATATATGCGATCTGTCCAGTGTGGAGCGCAAGTTCCGCCTGTGGCAACAGCAGCTGCCCCGCATCAAGCCCTACTATGCCGTCAAGTGCAACGACGATCCGCGGATTGTGCAAACTCTGGCCGCGCTGGGCGTTGGCTTTGATTGCGCCTCCAAAAATGAGCTCAAGCTGGTTCGTATATAGCTCGAATGTATTTTCATATATTTGATTGTATATCTATTTGAATAGGTGCTGGACTGTGATGTGTCGCCCGAGCGCATCATCTTCGCCAATCCTTGCCGTCCCATCAGCCACTTGGACTACGCCAAGCAGCGCCAGGTGCTCAAGGGCACCGTGGACAACGAATTTGAGATTTACAAGCTACACAAGCACTATCCCAATTCCAAGTGAATATTGCCTTATCTCTCGTTGAATCTCTCTCTTATAATTGTGGGAATTTTTCTACAGTCTGATTGTTCGCTTCAAGTCGGAGGCAAAGGCCGCGCAGTGCCCGCTGGGCGATAAATTTGGTTGCGATGCGGACGTTGATGCCTCGGCCTTGATGCTGCTGGCCAAATCTCTGGATTTGACAGTGAGTCAGACAAATATGTTAGATTGTCGATTGGCCCATGACATTAGCTTTGAAACAGCGGTTAGCTAAAAACAAAAGAAAACTGGCTTAAAGGAGCTTTGAAAGCTTTGTATTAATTCAATGCACTTTAAGCTTCAAAGCTTTTCCAAAACTACTTTAAGCACAGTTTTGCCTTAGGTATTGAAACTTTACACTTAAAGCTTGTCTTTTCTGTTCGATTAATCCTTAACAAGAGCTTAAGTGAGTTAAAATAGTATTATTTGAAGGGAAACAAAGATTCATACGTTTTTGAGAATGTTCTTTTTAGCACAGGTAGCCCTAGCTAAACTTTAAAACTAAACAATTTTGCTGCATTCATTTTGAAATTAATATAAAGGAGCTTTTTAGGCTCAATATTGCTTTTAGCAAGAAAATTGTATTAATTAAGTGCGATTGAATTAATCAAAAGCTACTATTTAACACATTTGTGCCATTGTAATAGATTCAAGTATTCTTCTAGTGTAGCTTTTTTAATTTGCTGGATTAATCCTTGTATTAAACCACTTTAAAAATATTTAAAAGCCAATGTTGTTGTATTTTTACCAGTTGTCAGTCATTCGTCATATTTATAGTTAAAACGTTTATATGTACAATTAATGTTGCAGCTAAAAACCACTTTAGGCTAATGTCATTTTATATAATTTGAATCTATACTCAGGTAACAGGCACCAGCTTTCACGTTGGCTCCGGCTGCACTGAATTGGAGGCCTACGAGCGTGCCATCAAGAAGGCCAAAAACATATTCAAATTTGGGGAACTGTTGGGCTACGATCTGAAGTTATTGGATATTGGCGGTGGTTTTCCGGGCAGCGATGACGAGCAGTTCGTGAAGGTATTCCGGTTGCTTCACATTAAATTTAAAGAAAATCATTAAACGAAAGGGAATTCTAGATAGCTGCCAATGTAAATCGCGCTGTGCAGAAGCATTTTGTGGATAAGCGCATTGAGATAATCGCGGAACCGGGTCGCTTCTTTGTGGCCGCCGCATATACACTGGTCTGCAAGATTCATGCCAAGCGCGAGGTGCGCAATGCGGCCGGCAAGCTGGACACTGTGATGTACTATCTGAACGATGGTGTCTATGGCTCCTTCAATTGCATACTCTACGACCATCAGCTGGTCACGGCGCAGCATTATCTGGTAAGTGTCAGATATCTGAATGAAAATAGATAATAATAAAAGTTGTTTATCTTAGGAGGGCGCCGAGTCCTTGCCCACATTCAAGAGCCTGATCTGGGGTCCCAGCTGTGATGCGCTGGACAAGGTTAGTTTAAATAACTTAACCTGTTTCCCTTTGCACTTAATATTAATTAATATTTTTTTGAAGATATCCGAGAATCTGCGTCTGCCCAACTTGAATCGTGGCGATCTGTTGGGCTTTCCCAATATGGGCGCCTATACGGTGCCCATAGCGAGCGCTTTTAATGGCTTTCCCCTGCCGAGGACCCTCTACTTTCGGGCCATATGACTAAAAGTTGTGGCAATTGAAATAAAAACACGCGACATGTGTGTGTTAGTAACCAATATGATTTTTTATTCTTTATAATTGGCTCAATTGGGAACACATAGTATGCATGGATAAACACTACACACTCTGTGTTCCACAACGAAGACAACGGAACTGCTCCATGGATTCGGATTCGGTTTGCTTTTGTTTTTTGTGGTAATATTTTGAAAAGAACAGCTGTTGCCGCCAACTGACCCGAGTTGGGCTGCAGCGCATTCTTTTGAAAATATTTCGAGTATTTTTTTGAAATTATTTTGAATGTTTGCTTTCGGGCATGGACGCCAGCTAACGGCTAACTGACCCAACCGAACTGGCGAACTCTGCCCAAGAAAACAACTTTTTAGTTAGTAAAATGTAAATACAAAATAGCTTATGCACGATACTTAGTACGAAACAGGTATATGTATATATATATATAATATGTATATATGTATAACTTAGTTCAAATACAATTCAATAGAGGTACATAGAAACATACAAACATCAAAAACAAAACAAGAAAACAATTTCACAAATTGTGTGTGTGTGTTTTTTTTTTTAAATTGTTGCACATGCTCAAAAGTAATTGTAAAAAATTATTTTTGTATTTTTTTTTAGTTGTTGTTGCATTTTGCGATATGTTGTGATATTACAATATATAGTATTGTATATGTATAATATATAACGATTATGTATATAATAATTGATATCGTGTATATGCGGACGCTGCAACTTATCCGCCTATCCGCTTCTTGCTTCATGCTTCTCTCTTCTGCTTGCATATAAAGAGTACAAACTACTTATTTCATAATCAGTTCTTGGTGATTGATGCAAATGTTATTCTTCTCCCATTCGAACGCGTACAATTTCGTTTTTAATTTTATATTACTTTTTTTTTGCTTTTTCTTTTTGGGTTTTTTTTTTTCGTTTTAGGTAGATACATATATAAATAGCATTAGTATTTCTTTGGTAAATAATCGATAAATATTGCAAAAATTTCGACTAGGTTGCATGCTTTTTGATATGCTGCTTGGAAAAACTTGAATAGAAAAGGTCAAATAGATAAAACCACAAAGAAAATCGTTTATAATGATTGTATCTCACAACAGCGACGACAAGACGACGACGACACATAGTACTACTAAATAGGTACATAGATATACACAATACACACAAAATTTGATAGTAGTATGTGTAAGTAGTTAAACTCTTGCTCTTAAAGTTCTATAATTATAATAATAATAATAATAATGATAATAATAATATCGCTTAACTTGTAACAATTCACGTTTTCTGATATGTTTCGGTTTGCTTTTGTTTGCATTCAAATTTGAATCTCTAAATTGTTCACTTAACTCTAAGCTACGTTTATAATGCCTATCGATAACACGATTTATACCGTTAACAATTAATGATCGATTTTTGTCGGTCGATTTAACGGTTCTGCCTAGGTTCTGCCTAGCAACGATGTCGGGCTACTGTCCACAGTGCGTAAATGTTTTGTGTGTTGTTTATGGAATTCATGATTTGTTTATCTTTACTTCTTTACTTCATTTCTGTTTTTGTTTTTCTCTCGCGATTTATGACATATTGGCATCAATATAATATCAATACAACAAGGTGGGTGTGTATCATTTGCATTTTGGGTATTCAGTTTCGATGGGGCACTTGCGGGTGATATTGCAGCTTGTTTTTTGTGGGCTGTTGTTGCTGTTGGTTGCGTGCATATTGAGTCTAACAATTGCCAGAGTTGCATAATTCACGGATTCACTATAATCTATAATAAAAAATACAATACAACAACACAGAAATGGTTTGTAGGCGTACAAAAGTGGTTTTTGGTATTTTGGTTTTGGTTTTGGTTTTGGTTTTTTAGGGGGCATAAGTATCACTTCGTCTATGTCTGATGATGATGATCCATCATGAACACCCACATACAATAATGTGTGTATATATATACACATATATATATATATATATATATGTGTAAATATATATACATGTATATGGATAACTTAACGGAAAAACGGATGTGAATGCAATTGATACGATTGCGTATGCTGCTTGGAGTTGCATATTAAACGCTACTCAGAAATGCCACGCTACACATGGCTATTTGGGCCAAAATGTTCACTTGCAGTATCCGCATGAGACCGCCGCTGGTGGGTGAGGGACTCACATTGAGGCCAGCGCAGTGCATCTTCTCGGTGGGCATCGCTTGCACAAAGTACTCGCGATTATCCAGCGACATGTGGCACAATGGCTTCTTCTTTTGTGACATTTCATCGTCCTTGTTCTTCAGATCCTCCAACAGCTTGGGGAACCAGGACAATTCGCACGAACAGTTCAACGGATTGTCTGCACAAAGATATATATATATATATAAATTTAAGATTCTATAGTATCATTTATTACAACACTTGCCAGTGATGTCAATTATGCGTAACGTATCGATGACTGGTTCCATTGTATCCTGCGGTATTCGCTGCAACTTGTTATTCTGCAGATTCAACGTTTCCAGCGAGTTGAGATTCTCGAATAGAGTGCTGGGCAGAACTTTGATGCTACAAAACGAAAAGGTGTGAGAGACGATAAATATAGACGTTAGTTTGGGAGTCTTTTCTTCTTTTTGCTAGATATTGCGTGCTTTACTCATTCTTCTGCAGATTGAGAAACGTCAGCGAATCGCCGTATCCGGTAAAAGCATCATCGGCCAGCACATTGATGTTGTTGTTCCGCAAATCTAAATGGCGTAGACGATGCAACGGACGCAGTGCCTCACTGGGTATGGCATTAATATTATTATCGCCCAGACGCAAGTACTGTAGATTCTCTGGAAATTTGTTATCCGTCATTAGGTGAGGCTTTATGAAGGACGCTTCGCTGCAGCTTACCCTCAAGACCCCTAAACGCATCCTTATCAATTACGCTGATCTTATTGCCCTCCAGTTCCAGCGAGTTGAGTAGGATTAAGTGGGAGAATACATTTGCAGGCACGGTTGTGATCATATTATGTGCTAATATCAAAGAATCCAAATTCTGTAGACCTGTCAAAAAGTCGATTAACTTTAGCAGCTAATACCAATAGAAATTTACAGCAGCCTTACCTTCAAAATCACCCTCACTGATCGTACGTATCTTGTTCTCCTGTATCTCGAGTTTCTTCAATGTATCCAATATGGAGAGCGACTTTTGTGGCACATTCGATAGATCGTTGCCACCCAGATTCAAACGCTTTAGTTTTCTGAAAATTCAATACAAAATTAGTCTTTAAATTCAGTTAAACTTAATGTTATTTACTTCTCCAGGCCGCGGAATGCTTCCGGATCGATCTGTGTTATTTTGTTCTCATAGAGCGTAAGTATCTCCAGGGTGTCCAGCCCTTCGAAAGCATTGTTATGTATGACGGTGATTTTATTGTGATTCAAGTTCAAAATTAACAAGTGATACAGATGTTGCAGCGCCTGTAAAATACAGATATTTATATAAATTCATTTTTAAAATTGGATTTTTTGGATTGTTATACTCTTATTTGGCAGTGAAATAAATTGAAACATTCAAAAATTCACGATAATTTAAGAAAAATATGTCGGAATCTAAATGTAAAACATTCTATGTAAAATATAATAAATTATTACATATATTCATTCAAATTTGAATTAAAATGTGAATAGTACAAATACTATATTAATTTGCACTTGTTTTCTCTCTTAAAGCTATTTGAATAAATGCCAAAATGGCTGCCAAGGATTGCCGTTAGGCATGTTAAAGTTATCGATAATTTAATCGAAATATGTATGCTGATAGTCGTGTGTTTCGGTATTTTAGTGAGATCAGTATGCTGATATTCGTATGTTATTAAATACAAAGGGCAGAACTGACCTGCGACGGCACAGTTTTCATCTGATTCAGTGATACGTCCAGCTGTGTGAGTCCATTGCCTACGAAATGTATGAATTATAATTATATTGGATAATTCTGATGTTTTAGTCGGCACTCACCCAGCGAACTCAGTGCGTTCTCCTCGATGGCCGCCAGGCTGCTGTTGTGTATTGTTAAATGGCGTATGTCCAGAGCCAGAAATACGAATCCCTGCAGCTTGGGCAGATTATTGTGGCGGAGCTTCAAATAAAATATGATCGGACTTTTGCCCTTCAGCGTGCCCATCGATTTGGTAATATGCACCAGATCCGTGGCCTCGCACAGTATATCGAGTCCGTTCTTCTTCACCGTGCATATACAGGGCGAGATATCGCCCTGCTCTGGGCACACTTGTTGCGGTGTGCCCTGGGCGAGTGTCTGGACCAAAAACAACAGCAGACATCCAATGGCGCCCGCTGTATGCGTGTAGTGGACAATCAGTTGCCTTTGTCCTGCCATCTTGGCACTCACACACACTCACGCACACGCACACACACACACACCTTAGCTGAGCTCAACTTGATGACCGTTAGCAAAGATTGCGTTGTTGTCGCCGCTGTCGCCGCTGTTGTCGTTCTGAGGTTCTCTGATGATGCTATTTACAATTGTGTTCCTGTTAAGAGCATAAAAGTAGATAGAAGAGTCGATTACGGCTGCAGCGTATTCAAAATCAGCTTGAAATGGAAACGAAAACCTACAGCGAAAAGCGAATTACAAATTAAGCGCACAATGCGCCATTTTATATATATGTGTGTGTGTCTCTGTGTGTGTGTGTGTGTGTGTGTGTGTGTGTGTGTGTGGGTGTGTGTTTGGCGGATTAAAAATAAATTGAGCTAATTGAGCAGCTCTCTACGTACAGTCGTTGTTGCTGTAGCTGTTTTTTTCTGCGTCCGCGTTACGCATGAAAATGCCAACAAAATTAATAACAAAAAAATTAAAGAAAACCGAAGAATGAACATTGATTGTAGGCTCACCTGAAATGTTTGTCCGTCCCTATTTAATTAGTGCCAAATAAAACATGCTTCTTATTGCGATACGATGTACTGCGATGTATGTATGTATGTGCTGATGTGCGGAAAACCTTTTGTGGGCTTTCAAAGCAGAGTTTCCACCGACAAGCAACAATTAAACATCGCCCACTGTCACTGTGCTTTAACGGACCAGGCACACACACACATCGAGAAAGACAAAGACGAGCACCCCCTCCCCAACACCTGCTGGGTGTGTGTGTGCGCGGGGTGGTTGGGTGTGTGGCCTGTGGTCTGTGGCTTCAAGAGGGGCGTGTGCTTGCGCGCGGCGTAATGTGTAAACTCGGTCAGAGTGTGTGTATAACGATGTAACGGAAAATCGATATCATTCAAAAAATGTTTGTCGACTGACCGAGCCTTCTCGTCCTATAATATTATTATTATTTTATTATTATCGCTGGCTTTTACTAACGTTGGTTTTTATTAATTATAATAACTAATTGCACATAGTTGAGTACACTTCATTAGACGCTGCAAGCTTTTTTCAATTGTTGTCGCATTGAGACGACATAATTATTATTGCGTCTATTTGCATTTAGCTGTGGCAATGCTTAACGTTTTTATTTGCATTATTTATTGTACATTTTTCGCTGCCGCGCGCCGACACACGCATTGGATGGGTGTATGTATTTGCGTATATGGGGAAAATAGTACAAACAGCGCGTATAAGAAGCACGTTTACTTGGCAAAACCGAAGACTGCGGACTGAAATTCAATTTTTAAAATTGAATGTCTGCCGTTTCATTTGGGGGTTGTTGATTCGTCGTTAGTTTCTTGCACAGTGTTGGTAAGCGAGCGAAAATGACGTTGCCACCCCACAACGCGATACGGTCACCCTACAAAATAAAAATATATCTTACAAATCGATTTAATAATCGAGTTGCAGCTCTGTGCCCGGTTAGCGGTCTTTCAAAATTCAAATTTGAAAATCAGCTCAAACAAATTACCATTTATACACTTGTTAAAATAAAATATATAATTAAAATGTGTCGCAAATTGTCTACCCCATCGAATTTGAAATGTTGACAAAAATGTTAAGGGGTTGGCATAACGAATTTTGTGAACATAGGTCTCTGAAATGAATTGTGTTTGGATTTAATATATTCAATAGACTCTCAAGGAACATAAAAAGTATCTTTATGTATACTAATATCCATATTATACAGCTTGAAAGGATACGATTTTTTTGATAATTTCCCCATAGTCATAGTAGGCTTTTGCAAACGTTGAAAATTAAATACATCTTATAAAAAAATTGTTGTACCAAGAATCATAGCAACAAAGTTCATTCAGTCGGGCAAACCAAATTATCGAAGTTTTAAATCTTTTTTAATATTATCCTTTTCCAAAAATGGGTAAATGTAATAAGGCATTGATTGTAAAACTTTTGTGCGAGTTTCTTGCCAGCTTCTTTGTTCAATTTATTGGCTGCTCTCTTACCGAGCAAACTTTCCTAGGTATTGCTTTGCCTTTAACGGGCTCATTTGCTTATGCAATGAGTTGGGGCGGAAGTGTTCTTGCAGCGACGCAAGCATTTCGGATAGTGTCTGGTGCACACATAAATCCGTGTATTTCCATTGCATCCATGATACTCGAGAACGTAAAGATTATCGATGGCCTGCTTTATATACTCATGCAGCTTATCGGATCGGCCTTGGGCTTCGGTCTCTCATTTGGTATATTCTATAACTCGCATATAAAAAACCAAAAATTTTGCTGTACAGCGTTAAATGTGGATCCTATGTGGAAAGCGATATTGTTGGAATTTTATATGACCGGAGCCTGGGTATTTGCCATGTGCGCTTCATGGCATGAAAGTAACGAGACGATGCTGGAGTCCATATCACTGCGGATTGGATTGATCGTCGTTGCTGCCACATTTGTTGGAGTAAGTCTCACAATGCAATGAAATTCAATGCAATATATATAATTTCTTCTGCTGCTATTTCCAGGCCAATTTCACGCGATCCTGCATGAGTCCATTTAGATCGCTCTGGCCAGCAATAGCTGCAGGTGCCTATAATCACATCTACATCTATGTGGCTGTGCCCCCAGTCACGGCGATTCTGCTGGCGTTCGCCTGGCGCTTTCTCTACCTGCAAAACAAACCGGAGACAGTCAAGGCTGAAGGAGGTGGTGGTGAATAAGGGAAGCACATTTCTCTCTACAAGTGTAACCAATAGCCAAGTGAAAATTTATTCAGAACTCTTCCAAATTGGAGATGAATGTTCAATTAACAAAACAATATTTCAATATGTGTATGTGTCTATCCAACTGTCAGCAACATGATACCAAATGACAATAAAATAATACATTTTTCGAAGTGCATCAACCGGTCAACTCGGTATATGTAAAGCCTTCTCATCGAAAAACTACATCACATTGCCTTTATTTAAAATGAGGATATTTCCTATAGCTATCGATAACCCCCGCCTGCCTCTTTTAAATTAATTAAAACCACAATTTAATTGTTTCTTTTTTTAAGATTTACTGCTGAAAATTTCATTAAGATCGGGTATATGGGCAAGAAACAGAAATGTAAAAGTAAAAGGAGCCAAGTGAACATTTATTTGGCAGTCCAAATTGAAGAAGAATGTTTAGTTATCAAAACATCTTTAAGTGTGAGAATATTATTATAATAATAATATATTTATCAGAATTAGTTTAGAACAACAAGCAGAAAACTATTTTAAAGAAGAAAGTAGAAAAGTAACTTATTTGAATACGCGGCTTTTTTCAAATGTACGATAACAGCGACCGATGACCCGATTACCGTTAATAAAATTAAACAAGAAATCGAGTTGCCAGAGTTTCTTTTAACGAAAATTGCCCTAGTTCGACCGTAGCGCATGCGAGCTAATGCCTTGCCCCGCGATCGGTTCGTGAACCTGGCTTTTGGCGCGATCCTTAGAACATTTAAAACTTTTATATAAAGTTCTTGCTGTCTATATTTAAGATATAGTCTATATGCCCACTTGTAGTAGGCTGAGGTCAATTTGAGCTTTGAAGCTTATGATTGTGGCAGATCAGCCGGAAAAAAAAACACAGTTAAATTCAAGTATTATTTGAAACCGGAGCACAATATTTCCTTATATAATCATATTTTTTGTCACGTGTCACGGTACAAATTTAAATCATGGGAAATTTTAAGTGGGATATGGAGCTTCTTAAGAAAGTGTTTGCCGAATTTACTGGAACCGCGATGATTCTAGTACTTGGATGCTGCATTGACGGTACGCCGGATCCGATGAAATCGCTCGTCTGGGGCCTTATTTACTTGGCGGCCATTCACATATTCGCCTTCATGAGCGGCGCCCATCTGAATCCAGCTGTGAGTGCCGCGGCCACAATTGTCGGTGTCATGGAGTGGCAATTGATGCTCTGCTATATGCTTGCACAATTACTGGGAGCTTTTATCGGCGCCGGAATGGCCTTTGGTGTACAGCCAAATGGTACCAAACAGTTCTGTTGTACGGTACCCATTTTGAAGGATTACAAGTATTTGGCAGTCGAGCTTGTTGCGATGATGCTCTTGATGTTCGCCTATTGCGCTGTCTGGGATAAGCGCAGTGATAACGCATACGACACGATGTCTCTCCGCATTGGATTCACAATCGCTGCCTTGTCCTTTGCAACGGTAAATATAGAAACGTATATAGCCATGTCCGTTTGACATGCAGTTCTTAAGCTAGGCATAGGGTACATTGTACTAATAATTTCGGCCCACTTTATCATATTACATAGAAATGATCGGTCGAAAATTTTAGATAGAACTTAAATTTAGGTTTAAACCGAACCAGACCACTTAATGGACCACTTGATCCAAGGTTCTCGTATCGAATCTTAAGGACCGTGCACCGAGCCACTGACAATTTTATTTTGAGTTTGCAACCGAACCACCAACCGTTATTAGATATTAAAAAAACAAACATCAAAAAGTTTTGATTTTCGAACCGACCCCGAATTTTAGAAAACACGTGATTTCCATTTTGCCGATTTGCGTCAAAATTTAGATTTTAATAAAAAGTTCCCAAATCGGACATTATTTGGAATATTCCAAAAAATCTACAAAAAAGGTTGACTTTACAAACGAATCGGTTTTTGGTCAACCACTTTTTTAGCCAATCGCTTTCTGAAATGTTTAAATGCCAATTAATAATATGGATCCTTACGAAATCAAAAAGGTATAACATTTCAAAATCTGACAATATTTACCCGAGATATTCAAAAAAGGGATCAAAAAAGTTTCGATTTTCGAACCGACCCCGAATTTTAGAAAAAACGTGATGTAACGCCTTGCCATTTTGCCGATTTTGGCCAAAATTTCGATGTTCATTGTTTTGATGCCAATCGATAGTACTGATCCTTACGAGTCCAAAATGGATAAAAATTCCCAAATCGGACATTATTTGGCCGAGATATTCAAAAAAATCTACAAAAAAGGTTGACCTTACAAACGAATCGGTTTTTGGTCAACCACATTTTTTAACCAATCGATTTTTGAAATGTTTTAATGGTTTAAAGGTTTAATTAACCAATCGATTTTTGAAATGTTTTAATGCCAATTGATAATATGGATCCTTACGAATTCAAAAAGGTATAACATTTCAAAATCTGACAATATTTACCCGAATTTTAGAAAAAACGTGATGTAACCCCTTGCCATTTTGCCGATTTTGGCCAAAATTTCGATTTTCATTGTTTTGATGCCAATCGATAGTACTAAGCCTTACGAGTCCAAAATGGTAACGCCTTGCCATTTTGCCGATTTTGGCCAAAATTTCGATTTTCATTGTTTTGATGCCAATCGATAGTACTGATCCGTACAAGTCCAAAGTGGTATAAAATTCCCAAATCGGACATTATTTGGCCGAGATATTCCAAAACATCAACAAAAAATGTTGTCCTTACAAACGAATCGGTTTTTGGTCAACCACATTTTTTAACCCATCGATTTTTGAAATGTTTGTATGCCAATTGATAATATGGATTCTTACGAATTCAAAAAGGTATAACATTTCAAAATCTGACAATGTTTACCCGAGATATTCAAAAAAAGGGATCAAAAAGTTTTGATTTTCGAACAGACCCCGAATTTTAGAAAAAACGTGATGTAACGCCTTGCCATTTTGCCGATTTTGGCCAATATTTCGATTTTTATTGCTTTGATGCAAATCGATAGTACTGATCCTCACGATTCGACAATGGTATAAAATTTAGATTTTCATTTTTGTAATGCCAATCGACAACCACAAGCTCAACGCGCCCAAAATTTTGAATTTTATTTTTCCGAGATATGATATGAATGATGTTTTTCAGACGATATTTCTCTTGGGCTTGCCTAAAAATTTAATGGAGCCTTGACCTGGGTTAGCTACTCTTTTTTAGTTGACTAAAAAAAGGCCGAATGACAAACCCGAACACAAAATTAGTTTGTTTTAAATTCTCAGAAAGAGCCTGTCTAAAATTGTGAGGCACTATCCACATTTTGTATCTGCTCCAACAATGGCTTCAAGTTGAAGGTCTGGTTCGAACCAAGTCAACTTGGTTCGAATTTGAGCAGGACTAACAAGCGGAAGGTGGTCGGTTCGAATCCAGCAGTACTTTTGAAATGTCCCAACATTTGCGTATTACTTTTACTTGACCCGGAACAAGCCGGGTGGTATACATATATATATTTATATACAATTTAAAACCCATTTTATTTCACAGATCAATTTGGGCGGATGCAGTCTGAACTTCTTTCGCAGCCTTGCTCCAGCGTGCATAAGTCAACAGTTCAATGGCTTGTGGGTTTATTTCGTTGCTCATTTGGTAGCCGCCACATTGGTGCCCGTGGTTTGGCGTTTCCTCATCGCAGAGGAGAAACCTGAGCCCGTTGATGGCTAATCTGAATGAGCAGCAATCATCACAAAAAGGATGGAAAGCCCTCAGTCAGGTGTAAATATCTATATATACGTATATATATACGTAGTTTGGCGTAAACGTGACATCCGTATGAATACAACTATTTTGTATATTTATGTCGTATGTATTTTATACTGTACTCGACGTATACAAACTTATAGAAAATTTAACATATAAGAAAGTTGTCACAAATAATAAAATATTCACGCTACCAAATTTGAATATTTATTCTTATACGCTACGCAGATAACTGTTTTCCTGTTATCGACGTATATAATTATCGATATCGAGTAGTCGATGCGTGTCGATACACTCGGATTATCAAAGCTACAAAGCATGGGATTGTCTTTTAGCCAGCACCTACCATCTTTACGCTCCACAAAAAGGTTTAGTAGCGTGTGGAGAATAAGTTATGCTAAATCGGTGCTGATTACAGGGTATATCGTTATTAGGCAACGACTAGAGCACGGGGCAAAGGGTACATAGCTTTTGTGTAGGTCTGTGTAACAGACGGAAGAAATGCATGTAAGAAGAATGTATTGTCGATTTATCGTGTCCATTATATCGATACAAAATAATAGCGATATTTGGTATTTGGGCTCTCGTATTCTATAAACAGATAAGGAATATTTCAGAAATATTTCTTTTAGGGTATCTTATAGTCGGACATTTCCAGCTAGATCAAAATATTTGGCCGAGGAGAGTGAATGTTTGAATTTGAATTTGCCAACCGGAAGGAGAATGCTTGTTATGCCAACCTGCTTGTGGTTACAGGGTATATCCCAATTAGAACTTATGAATGCCTATTTCAAATAACGTTTTAATTTATCGATGTTTGATTACGATTTTCACGTTTACCATTTCCAGAACACATCGATTTGGTCTGAAGGTCTGACTATTCACATTTTTTTTTTTTGAGCGGCATTGAAAACTCCTTTGATGATGATCAGGTTACAGCCGCACGTGGGCGTAATTTTCTCGCAATTAGGATGCGATTACGATAATGTGACCCGTCGTCGCAGTCGAAAGGGTAATTGAAGAATGGATAGGTGATGGTGTTGGTGATGGCGTTGGCTTTGGTCTTGGTTCTGGTGCTGGCTTCTTTGTGTCCAGACCCTTGCCGTGTGGCCACGTGCCATCAGACGCCTTCGCGCAGTTTGACTCTGGCCGGAATGGCTGGAGGAGGGCTGGTTGGGGTAAGGGGAACGGGGAACGGGGAACGGGGAACGGGGATTGACAGTTTCAATTTGCAAGCTTGTTGCCTTTTGTGGAACGTCTTGGGGGTTGTTCGCCAGCTGACGGATTAAGTTTTGAGGGCAGCCAGATGCTGCTGCTGTGGTTTCTACAAGGAACTGAACGGAACTCAAGAGAACAGAGAACGAAGAACGGAACGAAACGGAGCGGGATTTTGTACACAATTTGAATTTGACAAAGTGCAAAATCCTTTGCACTTTGAAGACTGATTGACTTCTTATCCTTGAATGGATTTGAATAGAAATATATTATTTCACATTTCGCCCAGCTGCGGGGGTTGGCCTGCCCCTGTGTACGTGTGCGTGTGTGTGAGTGTGTTTATGTAGCATAAACAAACGGAAGATAATCAAGATGTAAAACACAATCCGACAAGCGAGAGTGGCGCCTGCGAGGGCTTCTGTGCAGCTCTCGCGCGCGGCTGAAATTCAAAACCAAACAAACCCGTTGCAGAATCAAAAGGCAAGCGCTTGGCCAAATTACAGTTACAGTTGAAGCCGAAAGAAAGTGTGCGGGAGGGAAGGGGGGGGGGGGCGGCACGAACGATGGCTTCAGTGGAAAATTGTGAAACGGATTTTTCACCATTTCACTTTGTACTCGTCGAGGGAAACTGTTATTAACTTAATGAAGGACTGTGCTGCGCACACACACACGCAGACACACAGACAACCACATTTTACCTGACACGTGATTCGGGTGACGGAAACTCTCGAGCCGGAGAGAGGGGGGCTGGGCTGGAATGGGAGGAGGGAGGTAGGCATGGCATGGGAAAAGCTCAAGATGCTGCGCCAGCAGGAGAAGGATAGGGGTAGTCGCACGACGAACGCCAAGCTCATTATTATGCTTATTATAGATTCGATGTCAAGCTATCAATGGCTGAGTATCTACCTTTACTTGAGATATACGAATTATATGCAGATATTAAGCAAATTTATGATGTTTTTTTTTGAAATTTTATATAAAGGCCAGCCAATCTTCACAGCCTGCTATTTTCACAGATGCGGAACGAATTACGTATATGACAATAGAGACTCTTGATCCGTATAAGTTTAAAGAGGTATATTATTTGAAGATTTGACTTTAAAGATTTGAGATATTCCAACAATATTTTTAAAATAACTAAGTCTTTGTCTTGGGTAAATAAGGTCCGATCCGCAAAAGAGTAGAAATGAAGATACTTGATCTGTATCTATTTTTCTAGAAGCTTTATTTCAAATTTGGTGAGAAGCCATTCAAATCAAAGAGATTTGCTCAAAAAACAAGATATCGATATCGATACTTATCGATTGTTTGTATACTGTCAAGTTATCGGACTGGCAGACGGACATGACAAGAGCTACCCGTCCTTTGATGCTGACCAGGATTATATATATATTTATGGAGTCCTTCGAGGCATTACACATTTCATGACAATATTATAATACCCCCTACAAGGGTACAGAAAACATATTATTTATATGGGTATGGAGAAGATATCTGTAAGAACTAAAAAGTTGTTCATGGCAGTATATGATGTACTATATATTGATCATGTCTGCTTAAAACTGAGAGACTACTTGCATATCTGTTACATACATTTGCACAAAAACATCATACCCTTTATTATTATTATTGTAAGTATCCCCATTTCTATCCAGCGGATCGGGGTATTTATTCTGTTGTTCGGTTTAGTTCATCTGCATAGAATAATTGTACATTTATTAAGCTTAAAACAAAGGGAATATCAGCACAAATATTAACTATATTATATAAAATATGTATCTAAATAAAATGTATACAAATTTGATCGCTGTTAATCCACTTTACGTTGTATTTTTCGTATTACACAAAGTAAGTACAGTTACAAAATATAAATTAATATATATAAATAAATTAGGATAACCCAAACGGTTTGATAACAATCAGTCAATCAGTCCGCCATATTTACATAGATATGAATATATATTTTTGGGTATTTATGTATATTATTGCTTCTTGTCTAAAGTAACACTTTGGTATTGGGAAATGCAACAACAGAGTTGCCAGACAGTCTGCAACAGCTCGCGTTTGTACAGTCATTAAAATATATACAATTATTTAGCTTATAGAAGAATGCGCATACTTTTGGCATTGTTAATTATATGCAGCATATGCGAGTCGCTGGCCGAAGCTCAACTTGCAGCCAGATTCTGTTGCTGTTGCATATTTAACGAGTTTTAACACAAGTCCCGCGCTTGCTGTAATTAAACCAGGAGATATATGGCCACACACCCACACACACACGCACACTCGATTGCATATATTGTATATAGGTGTGCGTGTGTGTGCGTGTGTTCGTGTGAATGAAGCTCATCTTGCAAAGTGGCAGGTTAAGTAAACAGTTTCATTGTGCGAATTCAATTAAAATTTATTCAAAACGTCAGCGGCAGCTTCTCAAATCTGCGGCGCAGGCAGCAGCAGCAGCAACAACAATGCAACAAAGTGCCACATGAGGCATGTTGCACGCACTCACGTAACTGTAACTGTAACACGCACACAAGCAGTGTGCATATATACATGTGTGTGTGTGTGTGTGTGTGTGTGTGTATCTATGCTACGGTCTGCCATTGGCAAAGGGGTGTGTCCTAGGCAGCGGCCACGCCCACACCACGCAAACGCAGACGCGCAATTGCCGCACTTGCGTCAGAGCGAGACAACGCTAGACGAGTGCGGCCCAACATTGTAGCCGTATCTGTGCCTGTTGCCAGTATCTGTTGGTTGTAAATGTATCTGTATCTGTATCTGTATCTGAAGCTGGCAGTTGTAGCTGCGCTGGCACTTGTCGGCGCCGTCGCTGCTGCTGCTGCCGCTGCTGCCACTGCTGCTGTTGCTGCTTGTAAGTGGTGTAAATGGCAATTTGTCTGCTGGCCGCCGTCGCCCCCGCACGGTAGCGATAATCAACGTTGCGTTGACAGCATATGTATGCCTCTGACTGTATGTATCTGTATCTGTATCTGTATCTATAGCTGTATATCTATTCATTCGCATTCGCGCATTTTGTGCCATATCATCGTCTGCTGCTGCTGCTGCTGCTCCGTCATCATCATTATGATCGTCCATTTTCAGAGTGTCTTATTTTTGGTTGTATTATTTCTTTGTACCGAAAAATAAATGCACATACTTACGTATGTACGTAATATATATATGTATGTACCTGCTCCATTGGGTTATTTTCGACTTCCGCTGCAGCGTCGACAACGCTCGTCATCCCATCCGCCCATCCTCAGGTATTCGCAGGCGCATTGCTCCGTCCCGCTCCGTCCCGTCACGCCCCGTTCCTTCCCGCCCTGTCCCGATGTCCCTGGTCCTGGTTCGTTTCCTACTATCGCCCTTTTCAGCTCTGTGTTATGATGTTAGTTGATGTTCGGCTATAACTAATCAAATTACTCAGCAATAAATTGTATTTGACGCTGTACAGGTATTTGCAAACAGGTGGGGTTATCAGGTATCCGCTGATCAATGTCAAACAGCTTTAAAAGCATCTAAACAGCATTACACTTAGCTACAATTGATGCTGAATAAACGGTTGAAATAAGCTAAAAAGAACTTTCGATTCACATTATTCAAATATGAACCGAAAGTGTTTTTTCTGTTGCCTATAAACAGCCTGCTGAAACATATGAATCAGAGAGGGATACGTTTGGTCAAGATACATTTAAAAAGTGAGCTATTAGTTTGCGGACAAATGAACAAGGCTACATTGACTCGCATGCTTAATACTATTTCCTAGAGTATTATCAAACAATATATCAAAAAATAATTTTCTGGTTTATCATATACAAAGATACTTAGTTCCTTGAAATGCATTCAATTTAGAATATAATATATATTCTTATTATTATAATTACTATTTTTATTTATTTTTTTATTATTATTACAAATAACTACTTTGATTATTATTCATATCAATGCATTATTATTAGTCAATTTTATTAATTATTATTCAA